ACGATGGCTCAAATGAAACCCCCGTGCACCCGGATCAATAGGGCACCACCGACGAAACTTCTCTCCTACCACTTTACTCACTCGCCGGGTCCAATACGTATACGTAACGGCGGTCCTCGTACCCATTTCCGGACCTCGTTCACCCCGCTCGCCATAAATATACAGCGCAACCGAGCTACCAATTAGCCATCGGGACACCCGTCGGCACTGCGTCGTTCCCGGTAAGTTCATTCGGTTCGCACGGGCTCTCGCCGGCCACCAATCCGAAAATTGGAGGAGCTCGGCTCAGAGCCCGGGAGGGAAGGGGGGGTCTTCTTTTTTCCCCGTTCCGTCCGTGCAACCCCACGGCGTGTCCGAGGTGAGGGTGAAAAAGCGCGTCTCTGTAAGAATTTCAGAATTCCGGCGAGTTTTTCCACCGCGACGCTCGGGTCGTGAACTCTATGTTCATGATGAAAATTACACGAGAGGGAGAGAGGGAGAAAATTTTTCTTACGTGATATCCTTCCCATTTGTCAAACTATCGCCGCTAATTGGGTCTGCGAATCTCCAATTTTAGTGAAGTATGATGTCAATCGCGACACATCGCTCATCGATCGCGCGCACTTCGGAAGATCGCACGGCGATTAAGCCGCTAATTGCGCGTGTGAGATAAGTGTGAGGGGCGATTAACGAGCGTGTGTAATAACAACGATGAATGAAGTACTCGAGGCCTAATCGCCGATTGGTAGCTCAGCCGTGAAATTTGTACGCTCGCCGATTAGATACGGATCGCGCACCTGTTATGGCCCAATTTCCACGTGGGATAAATGGAGATCGCAACTTCGCCCCGCAAATTTCGGACGAAGGTAGATTAGAGACGGGATGAAAAGAAGAAGAGTGTGTGTGAGAGGGGGACAGAGACAGAGCGAGTGTGTGAGCGAGAGGGAGAGGGTGAAAAAGAGCGACTAGCATTGTTGGCGCCGCAACGTCCACGGACGATGGGTTCCGGGGTAAGTTCATTCGCGAGAGTCGTCTCGAGAATCGGGAGAGAGAGAGAGCGGCTCCTGCCCCTGCTGTGAACTATTTTCGATTCCGACGGGGCTGATAAAGTAGTGAAGGGACTCGGATGCAATAAAGGCGCCTTCTCGCGAGTCACGTCTCGACGTAGCGTGGAACCCAAGGAATCTTTATACCGGTGACCGAAGCAATTTATTTCCCTCCTTGATATTACATAACGATAATACTTTGTTCTCGCCCGAGTTAATAAATGACAACGTGATCGCGTTCGCGAGTCAGACGTAATCATTTTGTCGCGCATAACACTATTTGATTTTTCCAATTAATAATTGCAAGCCGAGTCGAGTGAGCAGCTGTTCAGCGTGTGAAATGCGCCGCTAGATACTCCATTATTAGATAGTTTGTGCACATTCTTCTTCAATGAAGTCGTTGCGCTCCAGATTGTCATAATTGAGAGACTCTGCTGACGTTTGCGCGGTCAATCGACTGCGACAGGAGCCACAGTGACGGTACATGCAAGTGTCGATCTTTTGTTATATTCTTATCTGATAGACAATAATGTGATAAAGATACTGATGTTTCTCACATTGATATAATTATTCAAAATTATTTCGTAACTCTTATATGTTTTTAAAAAGGCTTCCCTGTGCTGTTCAATTATTCACTAAAAATTTGTTTTCGAAGTCGAGTAAAAAAAGTTCCTTCTTTGTCTTTATGTCGGTTAAATATAAAAGTTTCGTCTTGCATCACTAGATGTTCTCGGATTTTCAAGAAAGTAAAATGGAATTATCCAATTTTTCCAGGTCGCCTTGGATAAACTCGGGTAATGACATTAATCCCGACAAGAACCCGTGTGGATAACACATCCTGAACAAGTTACAACAAGTTTCGTCTCAATATCCGTTTGCCGCGAGAACTTAATTTCATTAATACAGCGAAACTGGGAATCACAACTCGATGAGATCGACGAGACGCTTAAAGTAGCAGAAAAACGTGTATTATCAGTTTTAACAAATCATTCGCTGCGGCCGGACAATCTGCAGCGGGCGGTGCTTTTGAAATTGGCGAAGCTTTGCGCGAGAGAGCGCGCCCGTCGTGTCCGAGTTTTAGCCGCGCACACATCGAAGCCTCTCGAATCTTCGGTGCCATAAATTATTATCGAGGACGAAAGGATTGTTTTCCGTGTTTACTTCGATTAAAAGCTCCGACGTATCGGAGCAGCCGCGGCGTAACGAATCCGCCGAGCAGAAGCTGTGCAAACGTTTCGGAGCTCTGTGAATATTCGTGTCATCTCGAACAACATCTCCAAAGTCTGATCTATAATATGCTCTTTTCTTGTTTCTTGCTCCCTATCATTTTCTTTTCTTTAAAGCCTGATCTACAATATACTTATTGGATATAATATGCTCTTTGTGTTCTGTTTCTTGTCTTCTGCCTTTTTCTGGCTTAAAGCTTAAGATTTGAGTCAGAAAGAGATAAAGAGAAAGAAGCAGGAAGCAAATAACGCATTATAGATCAAGTTTAAAGCTTAAGATTTCAGTCAGAAAGAGACGAAGCGAGAGAAGCAAGAAGAGCAAAAGGCACATTGTTGATTTGAGCTAACAATTCTCGAATTATGAAAGGGAACAAACAAGCGAACACACATACAAGACAAAGTGGGAGCTTTCTTTCTTCGAAGTCGATTGGAAATGTGTGCAAATTGTACAGCGTGCGAGCGTACGCGTTTCTCGTAAAAACGCTATAATTATGGAGCACTCGCGGAGAAAGGCGACGGCGGCGGCGTTGATTTCAATCGGCATTACGTAGCTGCACACGCCGCGCCGTGTAAGATTCTTACGCGACGTTATCGTGGCGTAATGTGACCTTTGCGAACAACGTTCGTAAGTAACCGCTTATACGAACGGTTTGTCATGATTAAGCGTTCCAGCGCTTACGTGGAAATTGGTACTTCGATAATATATCACGGAAGCGTAAAACCGGCGTTATCGTCATAAACACGCCCGACGTGGGTAATAATAAGTTAACGCAGATTTAGCACCAGTGAAAGAAAAAAGAAAGAGTGCAGCCCGCATTTATCGCGACGCTAAATTGCTCGGGCGAAAGTGGGAGGCGAGGTCCGCCTAAAAGACTTATCACTTTCCTCTCACTAATACCCGATCCGCTCCGAGCTCACACCGCGCGTCGCCGGCTTACCACTGTGTAACAAATTATAAATCTCTTGCGGTAAAATCGAGCAGCGTGATGGCTAATCGATCGTGTTATTACACAGCTTCAGCGCGCGCTACACGAGTCGAGATTACTCCATTAGAATAAGTGATTTGACCGAATAATTTAAATAAGCATGGAACGGGACTTAAATGACTCATATCTCAGAATCTCAAAGCTACAACTTCTCAGACAACTAATTGCTGCGATTGACTGCGCAAACATAATAGCCTTTTTCTGTGTGTCAATGTTCGCTACAATTCTGTTAACTGTATATTTTGTTTTGCAATAACTCCATTACAAATGTGCAGTAACGTCGCCATCTTGCCTTAGTACCGGAGTTCGGTTGCCCACTAGTGTCGGGTAAGAAGGTCACATATAAAATATGTATCCTAGTTGATAGTTCCGAGGTCTCCGCAAGAGGTCTCCACAGCCCTCCCGCCGGCTCTTAATTATGGGCCAACTTTACCTCGCCCGTCCATATGCTCGATTTCAATCATTTCGTGAATGAAAATTGCTTCTATTATCCGAAACAGTATATCATACACTCGCAAGAAACTTCATTCTAGCTAGTATAACACGTCGCTTAACTTTATTCACTTACGAGATGGGGAATATTAATGCAAAATTTCGAGGGCCTGGAAAATTTACTTTCAGCTACCGCTAAATCAGTTTCTTACTATTTCTTACAATATTATTCCGATTTTAATAAAACTCACGGGGAAGTCTTTGTGTTCTAAAAGAACCATTTTTCGCGATTTCGTCATCCACTGTTCCTCTCAAGATAAATACGAAAAAAAGCACACGACCAACGTATCCCTGAAGCCGTCCAGAGCCGGTTTTCTTGAGAAATTGCTACAAAGATGCAGTCACGACACCAAACGACGTTTTCCTTTGATTAAACACGAATCGTGAATTCATTATCAGTCGCGACGATCTCCACGAGCGTAATACTATAATACGATAATTATTTGATCCAGTTACCGCCGATGAATAAATTGGAGCAGTCGACAACGTGTATGAGAGAAGTAGGAAAACCGCGAGCACACGGGAGGCGAGACGTCGGCAAAAATGCCGATAGGTAGAAACTAATTAAACACTGATTAAATAAGTAATTACTACTTGATCGGCGGGAACCGTCGCGAGATCTCCCTTCGTCGGTTTCTCTTTCTCTTTCCCTCTCCTCACTCTCCTTCTCAGAGAACGTCGTCGCGCCGCCGCGGTCATATTCGAGCAATTAACGCGCGATCGTGCAATTAACGCTTCCGCCGGCATTAACGCGCGCAGGCTCGGCGGCTTAACTGAGCGTCGGCGGCGGCGGCGGCGGCGGCGACTGACGTGCAACGCGCATTAAATGTCTCGGCATTATTTCTGCGACAATTTCTCATTCCCCGCGGCCGAGTCAGCCGACGCTAACGTGCCGACGCGATAGCGTCCGCGACAGCGCGCGACGAGGCGGGCTGTTTCAGAAGTGACACGCGGATGCTAATTATTTCGAACGGCGAGCCAGCCCGAGCTCCTGACGGGGACAACGAGCACGCCCCTGCCTTCGCCCGCGCCGCCGCGATAAGGCAACCCGAAACAAATTACACCGGCTCTAAAATTATTACAGGGCCATTTTTTAGCGGCGGCCCTTCGTGCACTCCGTCGCGACGCGTCACAGAGATTGAACGGCGTTACCGTTCCGAAAATCGTTTCTCCTTCTCCTCCTTCCTCCTCCTGCCGCTATCTGGAGTGAAAATGTGCGTCGCGATCGCGCGAAGAAAACGGCGTTTAATCTCGCGCTTACCTCCGTTCCTTTTCCGCTGTTTGGTTTTATTCTCTTCTTCTTTTTTCCTTTTTTTTTTTGAAATCGCCTTCTCTCCTTTCGCGCGCGAGAAAATCCGATCATGTCGTCGTCGATTAAGTTTTCCAGCAACTGCGCGGCGAAATATCATTTCCCAAGCGCGCGCTCGCGCGCTGCGCAGATTGGGATATCGATGTGCGGATTTAAACGTAGTTTACGCTCGAGCCTGAATTAAAAATGTCCAAGTTTGAAAACAATCCCGCGGTGGGATCGATAAACGATGCGTGCGCCGGTAAACATTCGTGCGCGTATAAAGTGACATGGTTAACATTGATTGAATGATTCCGATGAAAATATGTATTCGATATATCTGAAAAAAAAACATACACGCGCATGTAGCCGCGCGCCCGCGCACTCGTCGACAGCTGCGCGTCGCGTACACACGCGCGCGTTTTTATATCGGGCACTTCCACACACGTGGAAACTTGAAATTTCCAGGAGAATCCGCGCCAGTTTGAAAATTTATTTCCACGATTGCCGGTTAAATATTACGTTTTAATTTTTCTCTGTATTCGTCCGGTTACGTATTTACCAGCGCTCGACGATTCGAGGCAATCACAACTATCGATTTCCATCGGCAACTGCCCGCCCGCTTCCCCGGCAGCAACTTTTAATATTATTTTTACTGCATATCATGCAGCAGCCGAACGTTGTTCTTCAGAATCGGCTTTTTTCCCGTCGCTCATGAACCACCGGGTTTCTCTTGTTCGTGCGCGTCACAGACAATACATTAAGTGCTGCGAAAGTTTTGCAATACGCCTATTGAACGAAGCGGAATTAGCCTTGTTGTGTTCGAAAGAGCGTTCAAAATGGGAGAGACCGCATCTCGAAATCTTGCCCGCGATATATTTCGAGCAAGTAGCGAGAGGAAAGGTTAGAAAACGGCCGAAACTAGAGTATCGTGCGATCATTCGTTATAACTTTCCACGTATAGAGGGAATGTCTCAAGTTTTGGGGAAGAGTTGCCCACATTGGACGACGATTTTTCGATGATACAAGCAGTTTCAAAGAAGAAAATTCAGTCTCGGGAATGGCCCACGCACAGGTCGGCTAGTGTGAAGCTGTGACGTCAGCTGTGACGTCAGCTGTGACGTCAGCTGTGTCGCGATGACAGAAAAACTGCTGGGAGAAAGTATCATTTACCGATCGAGGGGTTTACCCAGATTAGTACGCCTCGAATTCCTCTAGTCAGAATTAAGACATCTTGTCCATTTTCAGCGGTGACGGGAGTGAGAAAGAAGCTGGAAGTAACAAAATACGCTGCAACTTTTCTCTCACTCACTCATTTTTTCTCTACAAATGGCGGACAGTATCCCAACTCTGACTTGAGGAACTCTAGGCACACTTGCAGTCCATCGCATTTTATACAAAGTAAAAAAAGTGTACTCTGTGGGTACAATACTCGCTCACAGAGAAGCAAAAAGCGCAGAGAGAGTACAGTAGTACGAAAAAAATGCTTCCAATTCGAATTGTCTCAGGATGTAAACAGCATCATTACTGATGATGAAACGCGACTGTAATATAATGACGTGCCAACAAGGCACAGAGCGAGGTCTAGCTCTTTGACGACGAAGATACGCCAATTGAAATCCGAAAATCTTTCCTCGCTGCTTATTCGGAATGTACTGCAAGCAAGATCTCGATGCGGTTCCTCCTCACTTAATTTTGAACGTTCTTTCGAATGCCACAAAGCTAATCCCAAGGCTCCGTCCAATAGATGTCACGTATTGCAAAACTGTCATAGCAGAAATTTATCCTGTTTTGTTTTCACGATCTCGACGATGTCGAGATACGTGAGTCGAAACTTTGCCTCTACATAAATTCTGCATATTCCGTCGAACATAACGTATCAGTGCAAAATATTGAGGTGTAACGCTATATAGACTATTACTCTACCTTCATGCTGTAAATATTTGCTTGCTGAAGGAATCGCCATTTCTTCCATGTTGACGCTTAAGGAAGAACCTGCTAAGAACCTCAACAATGGCTCCAGATCTTGTATTGCTCGTTGTTGTTGTGCCATGCCGATGTTATAATTTGTCGCAAACGGATGTTCGAAATTATTTTGCACTCCATTATCTCAATACTCTATCTGCCCTTAATCTTCACGCATACCTAATTTTAACAAATAATTTATTAATTATGTGCACATCTGTACATAAAATATACGTGATAAATAAATCAATAATTAACATGGATAAATAAAGTGATAACTTCTTTTCTCATAACATCTTTATTCTTCTGCTTATCCGTGCTGAGAGCTTCAATAGGATTTGGATATTCAAAAGGAATGAAAAGGAGGAATTTATAAGGTTCAAGATATAACAATTACGCAAATGTCAATAAAGATTTAAATCCGGTCTCGGTCCAATACTAGGACTAAACAAAGGTAAAAAAAGAAATAAACGTTGGCAGATTCAAGCCGAAGAAATGCTCTTAAAGGAACATTATTAGCGAAACGAATCTCAATACTTGTGAGATTTAGACCGGCACTCATAGATGCAAATTATTCATGATATTTGATTGAGAACATAATTAGACAGTATATATATATATATATATATATATATATATATATATATATATTCGTGTTCGTGGACCGTTACTCAGTTGCTTGGATCGATAGCTCTTGTTGTACTAAATAGGTACATGCCGACAAATAGCGCAATCTCCTAAGAGAATCATGAAGTTATATTTAGCAAACAACGACAAACTGTTCGGAATGCTAGTCTCAGAATAAATTTTAAATCTCGACTCGAGTATATTCCCATTCTCGCCAAGTTCATCAGGCGTTGTGTAATGAAGGACGAAACATACCAGGAAATATACATGATGTACCGCTCGCATCTCGCATCCCACGTTCCGCGTCCTAGCTTACAAATCCAGCATTCTGTCCTGGTTGCTTCGTGATTCCGGACACTCGCTGGCACTGATGTTGACGCTCGTCGCTGACGATACGATTCAGTACGGGAAAACGTGCATTAACTAACGCGACGCGAGCCCGATTAAATCCTTCAATGGCCGACGCGAAAAATTGCACTCACTCCTCTCGACGGGAAGTGTAAATAACGCGCCGATACACGCTGTGTGCGCCGTTCGTTCGGCTCGAGACATAATGACTCAGTCACGGGTAAATACACGAGAAGCGCGAGAGCGCCGAAACAATTGGCAACTTGGAAAAGGGCAAAGTCACTTTCGGCCAATCGGCGAACCGTTGTCGCTCTTCCATCAATGACGAGAATATTTGGTGTCCGAGAAATCATGATACGTCACACACTCTACACGTGTTAATTATCGCGATGTCGACGAGAGAGGTCGATTCAGTATTTCAATAGCCGACGAAATATTTTAATCGCCCGATGGGAGTTGCAAATAACACACCGGTACATGTATTCCGTTCCGTGTCGTGTTATGTGTGTATGTGTGTGCCGTTCATCGGCTCGAGACGTAATGACTCGGTCACGGGCAAATACGCGAGAGTACCCAAACAATTGGCGAAAAGGACAAAGTCACCTCTCCCGACACGTCGACCGTTGTCGCCCGCCTATCAATGAAGCAAGCATTCGGAGGATCGTAACAACGATACTTTTTAGGACCGTCACACTTGTCGTTCTTCCTTCTTTTTTATTGATATTGACTCTCTCGTCCCAAAGGCCGTCGGCCCGAAAGATGTCAGAGAGATATTGATATGTGTAACACGACGTCTCGTGTACACGGACAGAATTTTGTAGTAACAATTACTATAGCGTATTTTGTAAGCCCGAGGGATAGATCGCAATTTTGCAGCAATTTTCACTCTGTCCTTTCATTTCATACTTACATATTTTATGAACTAAAATGTATTATTAAAACACTTGCTGTGTTTCCAGCGAAATTCATTCATTATGTTCTTTAATATGATAGACCATATTGAGAGTCGGTTCCTGGACTAAAACATAATAAAATTGAAAAGAATATATAAGAAAATAAATATGTAGTCCCTCTTGATTGATGGTCGTCAGAGACGTCGTAAAATTAACGTGACACGCAACTTTCATTTTTCACCCACACTTCCTCATTATCTTGTCACGTTAATTTAACGGTTACTGATTGCTTATTGGAGCGAAAGAAAAGTGTACGGAATATTTTGGAAGTGTGCCTAATCGATTGCAAGTATGATCCTTTGGATACATCTGTTTATCTTTTTATTTTTTCGACGTAGAAATTTTGGGCATGCGTTTCCTCGCTTCTGACGTCATAAATCGAGATGGTCGCGGCGAGAGGCCAGGACCCAGTAATTACTTATCGCGCATAATTTATCTGTATAAATTATATGCTTAGCATAATATTTGTCGAGATAGCTGATAACGCAATATATATATTTTGGTAAAACTGATGGCTTTAACAATTTCTACGTGTAAAACATTCCTAAATAACACCGTCGAACAATAGACGGAGAGAGACTTGACCTCATAATTTCGGATTTTTCCATCAGATTTCTAATTTTCATCTTCATTCGCGCGAGAGATCCCGCTTATTCCGCGACCTGTTTCTCCCGGCTGGGACCGTAGGAACTTACGAAACATGTATGATTGTTTGCAGTACCAGAAGGAAAACCGACCATCACGGCGGCTCACAATACCTCAGCGACGTCTATTTACCTGGCGTGGAAGCCGCCGAGTCGCGACACCATACACGGCGAGTTCCTCGGATATCGCATAGGATACCGACGACGCGAGAAAGCGGACGAAGAAATGACAAACATTTATATTCGTGATCCTGCCGTCGACGTAAGTCGCGTAATATTTTATCTCCCGTCTAACAGCGCGCCCGTTATTAAAAGGAAAAGGAAAAATTTACGTATATCCTTCATCATTTCAGAATCACAGTATCCACAATTTGGAGACCTTCACGCAGTATCTCGTTTCCCTGCAAGTATTCAATCCCGAAGGCCACGGGCCGGCTTCGACCGTGACGGTGATGACCGACGAGGGCGGTAAGTGAACAAAAAATAGACGAGTAGAAAAAGAAGAAAAAAATAGAAGGAGGAGAAGGGGGGAAAGGAGAAAGAAGATTCTTTTGAATATTCGCAATCTCGCACGAGACAAAGCCGGTGCAGTAGGATCGAGCGTTAACCCTTTGAATTGGAGCAAACTCGCGCACAGCGGGCACAGATAATGCGCCGCGTACCCAAGCACGGTAAAACAGAACAGAGTATCAGTCGTGATAAAGCATTGAATGCGAGGCAAGCTTAGCCGCAGCTGCAATGCAAGACCTCTGCATTGATTGCACGAAGGTAGTCGGATATCTCCCTTTTTGCGCGCGCGCGCGCGCTCTCTAATATTTATATTAATGTTCCCTGTAACAATAATCAGAGTAAATATTAGCTCGGCGAATCCTCGCCTCTCCGTGAGGATTTGGCCGACTTTCTGGCGTTATTATTTTAATTAATTGGTAAATCATGTACTTATCGGACGAGACATATATACACATGCTTCAATTGTAAAAAAATATACTCGACAGTTGTAATTGTAAAATATGACGCTAAAGCCAACGAAAAATAAAACGTTTTGTCGGGGAGAGGACGGTTGATGAAATTCAGCAAAAGATGTGTAGTTTCGTGTGTTTATTTTTGTGACGCGCGTGACCACGCATACGAGGACGCCGCCGGTGAATCACTACGTCCCTGCACATTCATCGTCGACAACTTTCTAGCTGCAATGCCACTGCATCCTCATTGACCCTCGTCTACGATAGAGCGTCATTGTGAGCGTCGGAGTTTCTTCGTGCCAAGGCGAGTAACGTTCTCACAGCCGTATCTAGGAATTCCCGAGGCCCCGCATTCATCGTGGATATATTCAACGTTTTGGAATTTTAGAGCCTGCCAACTATTCAAATATGTTTGGTGCATCGTCAAACGGCTGACATTAGAGGAATTTCTTTTGTAGATTGACGAGAGGTCATTTTATGAGCTCGCGCACAAGGGTGACGGAGAAAGAGAGAGGAAGAGAGAGAGAAAGGGCACGAGCGTGGAAGAGCGAGAGAGAACAGAGGCAGCTGACTCAAAGGCCCGAGAGAGAAAGAGAGGAACCCGTTCGTGGGAGAGAAACGGCCAGTCACGGGGTGGAAAGGGAAGAGGAGGGGAGCGTGACAGCCGGCGACCGTGCGACAGAGGAAGCCGACTATAGAGGAGAAGCCATTGGAGAGACAAAGAGAAGAGAAGAGAGAGCGACAGAAGGAGGGAGGAGGAGAGTGAGAGCGGGAGAGGGAGGGAGAGAGAGAGAAAGAGAGAGCGGGAGCAGCTGCCACGGCGTTTCGGTCGGCGCCGCGCCTGGTCGACGATCGATTTTCCCCGATTTTTCAGCGCGTCGAGGGAAGTACCTGCTCGAGTCGGCGTCCGGCGAACACGCCGCGTCGCCAGCCGGTTCCAGCGACTCTGTCGTCGTTGTCGTCGTCGTAGTAGTCCCCCTCTTCGTCGTCCTCTTCGTCATCGTCTCTCATCGTCATCCCGGAGACGACGAGGCGCGCGCGGAGCCCGTTTACGTGCGCGCACGTGTGTCTTGGTTTGCGGTCGCACGTGAAGTTGTCAGGCACGAGTGCACGCGCGCGCACTCACGGAAACTCACGACGATTTGTGTATGTGTGTATGTGTGTGTGTGTGTGTGTACGTTCCGCGTGTACACGGTGGAGCCGCTCGGTGTGGGTGCGGACGAGTGCGAAAACGTGTGCGCGTTCTCCTCGTGGAGGCTCGACGCGTGTGTGCGTATAGTCGGAGCACGGAGCTTCTACATGGCGTGGTAGCCAGTGCCGGATACGCACGCCAAGCCGCGGACGTACGCGGGTTTAAAGTACGAGTCACGACGCACGCACGTATTCACGCACATGAGCTCCTCGTGCATGAGCTCGAGCGTGAGCGCGAGCGCGATCGCAGTGCAGTGCGAGTGCGCGTGTAGTCGTCCGCATGCACGCGTCGCGCTCGCGTACGCGCGCAGTGACAGTACGCGAGAGTTCCTCCGGTGTGTGTTGCGCTCCGTTTCTACCTGCTACGTGCGGAATCAAGCGTGTTGATTAGCCCTCCTGCTGTTATCGCCTCGAATCCGCCTCGAAGTGAGTGTCCCGTGCGGCATCCCTGCGGCCCGCGCGCGCGCGGGCGCGGTGCGGAGCGGCGCGGTGCGGAGCGGAATCGCGGATCCTGGCCGAGCCATCATCATCATCACCGTCATCTCGGGAGAAAGAGAGTGCTCACTGAGATGGCGGCGTGCCGTCGATCCCGACGACGCCTCCTCCGAATCGTCCGGTGACGCCTAGGTCGAGAAATCGCGGCGATTCCTGGGCCTGGGTGTAATCCTTTGTTCGACTCAAGCCGCCGAGAGGTTCTCGCTCGTTGGAAGGCCTCGATGCTCCGAATCACTTCGAAGCTGCTAAAGAGAGAGAGAGAAAGAGAGCCTGCAAGTGAACGAGAAAGATAGCGTGAGAGAGAGGGAAGGAGAGAGAGAGAGAAAGAGAGAGAGAGTGTGTGTGTGTGTGTGTGTGTGTGTGAGAGAGAGAGAGAGAGATGGGGTCGAGAGGTCGATATGACGCGAGCGCGAGATGTGTACGTCGAGTAGTGCCAAAATGAAGCCCGAGCGGCGCATCCGGAATATTCCTAATATTCACCGACACGTCCGCGTCGGATGGATTTTGTTCTTCACGCTTCCCTACGCCACCGGGTCTGTACCTTCTTCGTCCGGTCCGATGGCGCTTTATACTCGGCTTGTTGGGAAAATGAGGGAAATACAAAAAGCACTCGCGGGACTGGTCCATTGAGGCTTCGGGGGAAAATCTCGAAGGTCTCTTTGTGTGCCCCGAGAGGAGGCGGAAAAGAAGAGGAGAGAAAGAAGTTCATTACGACGCTCTCATGGTGGAGCGCGAAAGCAGTTCGCTGCATTCATTGTGAGGAAAAATCGCGCGCCTGGACTTTCTCTTTATTTATGAATTTTGCTCTCGAACACGCGTCGGAATTTAATTCGAGTCACACCGTCACGCAGACGTCACGCGAGTGACTTGTCGACGTGCACTGAGCAATTCAAACGAGAACAATGCGTATCGTCCAGCTGAGACCGCGAAGAATAAATCGCAGCCTCCTCTTCCTCCTCCTCGTCCTCTTTATCGCTTGGACTTCCGTTTCTATCCGACGCGAGAAGAGACCGCAAGCCGTCGTAACTGATCTCGATTGTCGTGGAACGTCGTGTACTTCGATATACAATTCGACGCTCGGCCGCCACCCGCGTACTACACTCGATAAGAGGAAAAAAACTAGCGAGACGCTATGAGTCATTTCGATTACTCGCGCGGGACACAGCGGCATAAATTACGATGACACAATATCGACATTCAGCTCGCGCTCTCGTCCATTTGAAATCCAAGGAGAAACCGCGGCCGCGCGACTGGCGCGACGCGATTTTCATCGCGAGAGGGAAGATCGATAGGACTCGCCGTTGAATCGAGCGAGGGACGGACAGAAACAAAAGGAGGCGAGGGAAGCAGGAGGCACGACGTCGGGCCCGCGCCCGAATCGACGAGACGTGCCGGGACGAGAGGAAAAATCACGACCGGGCGACTCCGCGGACGGCACCGCGGCGACGCGGCGCGACGTCGAGGGAACTCGGCTGCGAGTTCGATCGCCGTGAAACTCGGTGCATCCGCCGCTCGCGCGGATGACACCGCGGCGAAAGGGCGCGGGGAGTGACGCACGAGTCGCAGGACCGACGACGACGACGACGGTGGCAACGGTCCGGTGCTCCTCGCTCAAAAATCGCAATCGAGGTTAATCCGTGCCGCTTCGGATCGTTCCAATTTCCGCGCGCCGCGTTCCTCGTCAATGGTCCGCGCGAGTGCATCGGTGCGTCCATGCACAATACGCGCAGCATCTCTTGCTCTTTTTTTCCGCCTGTTCTCTCTCTCTCTCTCTCCTTCCCTCCTCCTTTCTCTCTCTTTCTTCGCCGTCCTCCAGCGCGACTAAAGGGATCACGTTTTTGAAGCTCATCCTCCGGGCTGTTTCTTCTGATTGCACGACAGACGGGACTCGCGATATAAAATTCTTCTCACCGCGTGAACGCCGATTCCTCCGTCCATCAGCGTTTCCCGCAAGAACGGCCATCTACGTTGAACGAGTAACTCGCGAGTAATCCTCGATAGTGCGTGTACCGCGTATGGTACGCGGTGACATGTTCGTTTCGCACCGGCAAAATATAGCCTAGCCGCAGAATGGGGCGCGGTCCCGGCGCACTCTCTCACTCTCACTCTCACTCTCTCTCTATCTTTCTCTCTCTCTCTCTCTCTCTCTCTCTCTCTCTCTCTCTCTCTCT